AATTATAAAATAAATTTTAAAAAATTACTTTATTTTTTTAATTTATAAAAAATTATATTTCATTTAATTTTATCCATAAGATAATTCTTCTCTTATTAATATATTAATATTTGTTAAATAATATTTTCAGCTAACAGGTATTTCACAAGAAATGATTGAAAATAAAAAACATTTAGAAGAAGTTTTACAAGTAAGTGCATTGAAATTGTTGTCTAAGAAATATTTATTTATATGTCATAGTTTTGAATTTGGATTGAATCTGAATATTTAATCTGATCAGCCTGAAATTATCTGTATCTTACATTTTAATAGAAAATTAGTAATACATTAAGACCCCATTTAACACTGCCTCGATTAATGCTGATTCGATATAATGCGGTCTGCTCAAAACCTAAAAAAAGCTCCAAATATATACTGATTCAAATTATCGTGGCATTTCGTTAGTTCGTATATGTGACTGTAGGGTCGGTGTCTCTTTGACATCACGTCAGGATGTGACACCACCGAATCTCTTCGGACTCGGAAAACGCAACTTTACGTTGCGCGAGCAGTAGCGGGTGAGCGGTTGGATTCGGAGTAGAAGTGAGGAGAGAGAGAGACAAGGAAGTGATTCACTTGTATTCCATATTAATAAACAATAACAAATTTATTTTAACGGGCAGGAGTACACGATATACGATCTTATCCATATTTTCTTAAATTTAATGGTCGTAAGAGAGAGAGTTTACAGGATATTCACGTGTGGATAAATACCCTATATAGTAGTTGAGGATTGATGACTAAATGATTCACAATCTGGCTTCTTGGGATGTTTGATGAAATGTTCTTGATATTTAGAGTATTCAGGTAACAGGAGCAACTTTGGAGGGTATCTGTCTTTAGGTGTATAAGATATACTTATAAGGTCGGCGGATGCACTGTATAAATTCTTGAAGAGATGAACTTTGAAGGATGACTTTGTGGACGGGCTTTGGAGGACAATGGGTTTTTTTCATGAGGTCAGGAGTTTTTTGTTAAGGGTCTGGCATCCAATGCTGGAAATTTATCGAAAGTTCCAGGTGACACATCAATAACCAGATGGCTCATCCTCAACAAGGAAGCAAGTCCATGGGAAACAATTTTTATGGATTTTAGCCTGGTTATTGATAAAATGATTGAAGATAAACGATTGAATTCCAAAATAATTAAAATTTAAAATAACATTTTATTGAGGGTCTGTTGGTCCCTCACATATGTAATATGATTATTCCCAAACACAAATCAATCAGCAAAAAGTATCAATTTGTTGTAGTGCTGTACTTTCCTTAAATCTATGTTTGTTTGGTGCAATTTTGGAAAAAAATATAACATCATGATGCCATAGCCAATATTGACTTCACTTGGCAAGAATTAACTGATAAATGCATGAACGAAGTGTGGAAGAAGTTATGGCTGAAGATATCCAAGAATTCTCAACGAGAAGAGCTTATCATTAGGTTGTCCAAATTGTCAACCTAATCGATATAGCAGGAATAGAAGATGTAGATGAGCAGTATATCGAGAAGTTACTGCAAGTTTCTGGTGAGAGCCTTACCAATTACCTTCAAGAACTGGCAGAACAAGGAATTCATGTAGAACTGGAAAATAGTGATTCTGAAAATGAAGAACCCAAAGAATTTTTTGTAATAAATGCAGGGTGTGGCAGCAGAGTAAAGTAAAAAGGGAACTGCTTGGCTGGAACAGAGAGTTTGATATATGCTGTATATAGTACACATATCAAAAACAAAAGGAGATAAGGTACAAAGTAAAAGAATCTTCTTATATAAACAAAAGTCTAGATGTCACCTGAAATGTCCCTAGGAGAGTGTCATGATACTCTCACCAACAGAATTTCTCTACAGATTTCCTTAGTAAAAGTTTGGTAACGATAACCGAAATTGTTGATCAAATTTTAGTGAATGATCCAAATTTTGAAAGGAGTGCAAAAGCAAGACGAAGCATTTAGGATGCGATCTCTTGCTACCAACAATTGCTTAAGGAAAGAAAAAAAAAAGCAATAAATGAAACTACATGACTTTATCACAAAAGAAAACAAGAATTTCAGAAAAGTCAGGACCTTCATTACAAAAAATGAACTTTACATTTCTGTGTGCATGTTTGTGTGTTATTTAACATATATTATTAAGCAAATTAATATAAAAATAATTTAAACTTAAAGTAAAATCTGTTTATTTTTGGGCATGTGTTCCCCTTTTCCTATTTACTCTGTGTTAAAATGATCTTGTTTAACGCTGTTTCATTTAGCACTTTGTTGACTAGGAAGTATCCCCTGCATTAAGTGGGGTTTTACTGTATCTGTTACAGTAAAATTTAGTATTTTGCTACAGAATTTCTAAGTATAAAAATATAAATAAAAGCAATAGGATCGGTTTATTCAATAAATTTTAAAAAATTAAAAAGCTCAAAAGATACTTAGAAATATCTCCTAAACTAACGAGTTAAAATTACTCAGTTTTTTCTGATTTTGAAGAAACTAAAAAACACTCAAGTGGAAAGAATTGAAGTCAATCACTTTCTTACTATGTGTTTTTTAGTTTCTTCGAAATCGGAAAAAACTGAGTAATTTTAACTCGTTAGTTTAGGAGATATTTCTAAGTATCTTTTGAGCTTTTTAATTTTTTAAAATTTACAGAATTTCTGTTTTATCAAAGTAAAGTTTGAAAGATAGTTTCAATTTTAATGGTTTAAAACTTATTTTTCTAGTCACAAAAAAAAAATTAAAATATGTACAGTGATATTTCAGTGCTCAAACTGCGGCGTTGTCAACTTGGAATAGAGGATGTTCTTTAGGAAACTGAGTATGAAGCATAGGGTGTAAATGATCTGCGAGAATACTGCAATAATCTCACCTCTAACCTTCTCCCTCAGGACTACAAGTGGCCCAAGCCATGCCACGATATTACTCCCCACAGCATCACAGAGCCCCCTCCATGCTTCACGGTAGGAACCAGACAGTCAACATGAAATGCCTCTGCCGTTGTTTGCCAGACAAATACACGTCCAGTTGTCTGAAATTATGTAAATGATTTTTCGTCAGACCAAATGACCTGTTCTCATTGCTGCTATGTTTAGTTTCGGTGGTCTCAGCACCACTGTTGTCGCTTCATAGCATTCTGCAGCGACACTAATGGCTTTGGGATGGCTACTCGGCCACGAATGCTCGCAGCATGCAGCTCCCATTGAATAGTTTTGGTGGATATGGGGTTCTGGAGATGGGTGTTCATCTCAGAGGTTATCTGCTGCAGTGTAGTCTTATGTTTTCAGGTGACTACTCTCTTCAATGCTCATCTATGCTGGTCAGTCAACTTTGACTTTTGCCCACTGTTCTGTTTTGCAGATGACACCTTTCCCAGTTTTGTGTAGGCTGTTATAACCCTTGACACAGTGGACCTTGAAACTCCCATAAGGTTGGCTGTTCTAGACACGGACGCTCCAGCAAGGCAAGCTCCAATAATCATGCCTCTTTGCATGTCGGACAGGTTGGACATAATGGCGCTTTGCTGGGAACAGAATTTTCTCATGCTGTCACACCGCCAAATGCTTGACTGATACCTTCCTTTTCACCACCACTGGATGGTAGACTGTTGCAACACGTGGTGGGGCTGTATTGGACGGTTGAAGTACAACACATTTCGAAAGGGGTGTTCCTTTTCTTTGTCCTATACTTGTAGATGTAGTATCAAGAGTAAAGGAAGAGTGCTCAGAGTCACCTCGCGAAGTTCAATGACCTAAACAAACAAGACTTGCTACAAGAAATTTTCAGTTAATACCAAATAATTTTATTGACAAGACTATGTCTTGTTTATAAAATAGTACTGCTGTTTTATGTTACCAGCATAGAGGTATGAAAGAGTTGATATTTGACACAGAGTATTAGGTGCCCAAATCATTTGTGCATAAAAAAATCCAGACTTGTAGGTAGTCAGGAGTTAAAATAAAATACAAAATGGGAACCCTCTTCTATAAGCAGGCAAAACAGGCACCTCACCCACCGAAGTCAGGTGGGGGAGAGTACCACCCATAGTCATTCTAAGAAGTGAACTCTAACCTTCGGACTGGACACACAGTTTCTTCTATGTTTAATAAAATTTGTAATCTAATTTTGTAAATTTGGGAGTGCTTTAAATATGACGTTAAAACGGTTTTATGTCGTTACAAGTGTTTTTTTTTTTAACATTATCTAGTATAGTAAAATTGTGGGACTGATAAAAATTTGACGTTATATTAGGGTTGTTGTTATATTTGATGATGTTATAATCGGGTTAAACTGTATATTGTTTGTGCAAAATAAAAAAATAATTTTGGACGATACAATAGCCACGATTATTTTTTTCAAAAACGAGAAATTTTTGTTACGCATTGACAAAAATTCAACCCAGGCCGACATGCAATGGAGAGAAATTTTGAAATTGGATAGGTTAATTTCATCGAAAATGCATCGTGGACAACCTTGTGGTCATGGCCGGCGAAGTTTGAATGATTGCGCCAAAAAGCGACAATATCAAAGAAGATTGGAGAATGAGAACAAGACCCACCTTGAGCATCAAAGTGATTCTGCTTAGTAGTGAGTCTCCAAGACATAGTCTTGTCCCAAATACGGTTTTGCCGTTTTACTTGTTTTAACTTTAATTTTGTCATCTGTAAATAATCTTTTATGATAAAAATGATGAATTCATTGAAAAATAAAATAAAACCCTAGAGTTGCCTATTTTCATCATACAAAGTTATACTCAATCCAGTTTGTTTTTTTCACTTAATGCTTGCAGAAACCATTTTGCGACCATTCCAAGTCAATGAAGTATTTTAACTATACATATCTGTGACACATTTAAGATCTGTTGCAAATTCACAAGTTGTTATTTGTCAATTTTTAACAATTTCTTCTTGCAACTTTTCTTTGTTGACAGCTTTTGAGTGTCCTTCCATTGTGTATCCTTTAGTTCAAAATTTCCAGAATGAAACTTTTAAAACCACATTTGACATGTTTGAAGTTAGGTGCATCTCCACATACACATTACAAATACTTTTTATGGTTTGTACAGCATTATTTTCTTTCTGAAACTCATAACACGTAATATGCCAGATAAACTCTTTATCTGAAGACATTTTGATTTGATTTTACTCAAATAAAATGTGAAGTAAAAAGTTCAA